AATGGACAGGAAGCAAAGAGTACCCATGTTGTGATTTTTTTTAAGTTGGCAGGCTGTAACTAGAAGAATGATGCAATGATCTGGAATGAAACCTCATCAATTTACTATCTAAATTAATAACTTTGATCAACAGTCTGAAAGTTATGTTACTGTTTTTGCTGATGATACAGAGATAGATGGGAACATATTTCAGGAGGATATAAAGATATTACATAGAGATATAGGCAAGGTGACAGGAGGGAGTTTAACGTGGGGAAATGTGAGGTTATGCATTTTAGTAGTAAGAATAGAAAGCAGAATATGTTTTTGAATGGGGTGTAACCTTTTGATGTTTATGTGTAGAGGGACTTGGTGTACTCATGAAGAAAACACAGCAAATTAGTCTTCACATGCATCAGGCAGTTAGGAAGGCAAATGGTATGTTGACCTTTATTGCAAGGGAATTGGAATCACAAGAATAAAGAAATCTCATTATAATTGTTTAGGATGCTGGAGATGCCACAACTGGAGTGTTGCTCACAGTTTTAGTCTCCATAATGAATTTAAGGAAGGATAGACTTCAAGTTGAGTTGTTGTAATGTAGGTCTAAAGATTGGTCCCTCGAATGACAAGTTTCCCCATGTTGAGAGACTGAGTAACTGAGCCTATACTCTCTCTCATTTAGGTGTTTGAGAGGTCATCTCATCAAAGCACGTTAAATTCCGAAGTGGTAGATACCAAGGGGTTGCATCTGTTGGCTGAGGAATTTCAGAACACGGCAGTATCAAGATAATGAGTTGCTCATTAAGAACTGAGTTGAGGAGAAATTTCATTTGGAAGATTATCAGTTTTTGGAATTTTCTACTCTAGAGGGTTATGGGTGCTCCATTGTTGTGCAGACATAAGGTTGAAGTTGACAAACTTTTGAGGCAAGATTTTTGCCCCCCATATAGACACAATTTGCCATTTGCAGTTACCATGTTGCATCTATGTCATTTTCTCAAAGGCAGGATGACAATCAGAGGGTCCATCTGCAGCAAATGGGCAATTGAGGTAGTTTAATCGACTATAAGGCCAATTGTCCCTATAAGGCCATTTTATTTCCAGCTACCGTTTAATACAATCATGGTGATCAAATACTGTTATCCACACTATCCCATAATTGTTTGCAATGTTGATAACTGAAAATTTGATTTGATTTGATTTGATTTAATTTTTTGTTGTCACATGTACCAAAATGAGTGAGAAGCCTTGTTTTGCATGCTCTACAAGCAGACCGTACCATACCAAGGGCATCAGGGTAGCAGAACAGAGTGCAGAATATAGTGTTACAGCCGCAGAGAAGGTACAGAGAGTGAATTCAACATTAACATTTGAGAGGTCCATTCAAAAGTCTGATAACAACTGGGAAGAAGCTGTTCTTGAATTGGTTCATATGTGTTGTTGAATTTTTATATCTTCTACCCAATGGAAGAGGGAATATCCAGGGCGGGAGGTGTGTTTGATTATGTTGTTACTTTCCTGAGGCAACGGGAAGAATAGATGGAGTCAGTGGATGGAGGCTGGTTTGGGTGATGGACAGGGCTGTGTTCATGATCTTTGCAGTTTTTTGCAGCCTTGGGAAGAGCAGTTGCTAGATGGATACAAAACTGGCTTAGTCATGGAAGACAAAGGGTAGCAGTGGAAGGGTGTTTTTCAGAATGGAGACCAGTAACTAGTGGTGTTCCACAGGGATCAGTCTTGGGTCCTCTGTTGTTTGTACTATATATAAATGATCTGGAGGAAAATGTGGGTGGTCTGATAATCAAGTTTGTAGATGACATGAAGATTGGTGGAGTTGCTGATAGTGCCAACAATTGTGAAAGGATACAACAGGATATAGATAGACTGGCAACTTGGGCACAGAAATGGCAGATGGAGTTTAATCCAGACAAATATGAGGTGATGCATTTTGGAGGGTCAAATTTAGGTGTGAATTATACTGTTAAAGGCAGAACCCTTAGGAACATTAACATTCAGACGGATCTGGGCGTGCAGGTCCACAGTTCCCTAACAGTGGCAACACAGGTGGCCAAGGTGATTAAGAAGGCATATGGCATGTTGCCTTCATTGCCCAGAGCATGGAGTACAAGAGATGGCAAAACATATTGCTGCTATATAAAACCCTTGTTAGGCAGCATTTGGAGTACTGTGTGCAGTTTTGGTCACCACATTACCAGAAGGACGTGGAAGCTTTGGAGAGAGTACAGAGAAGGTTCACCAGGATGTTGCCTGGTCTCCAGGGCATTGACTACGAGTAAAGGTTAAAAAGACTAGGATTGTTTTCACTGGAAAGATGGCAGCTGAGAGGAGACTTGATAGAGGTCTGCAAAATTATGAAGGGCATAGATAGGGTGGATAATCAGAGGCTTTTTCCCAGGGTTGAAGTTTCAATTACAAGGGGGCATAGGTTCAAGGTGAGAGGGGGAAAGTTTAAGGGAGTTGTACAAGGGAAATTATTCTCACAGAGAGTGGTAGGAGCCTGGAATGCACTGCCAGAGGAAGTGGTGGAAGCAGACACATTGGCAACATTTAAGAGTCATCTGGATGTTTACATGAATAGTGCGTAATTGAGAGATATAGACTGGATAAGGGCAGAAGGTTTGTATTTTGGTTTAGTCAGGGCATGATGATTGGCACAGGCTTGGAGGGCTGAAGGGCCTGTTCCTGTGCTGTACTTCTCTTTTGTTGTTTTGTTCTTTGTTCAAACCATGCTGTGACACATCCAGATAGGATGCTATCTATGGTGCATCTGTAAAAACGGGTAAGAGTCCTTGTGGACATGCCAAATTTCCTTAGCCTCCTGAGGAAGTCGAGGCACTGTTGTGCTTTTTTGATTGTCACGTCAACGTGGGTGGACCAGGACAAATTGTTGGTGATCGTCACACCTAAGAACATGATGTTCTTGACCATCTCCATCTCAGCTCCATTGATAAAGAGAGGGCCGTGCCCTCCACTCCACTTCCTGAAGTCAATGAGGAGCTCCTTCATTTTGCTGTCGTTGATAGAGAGATGTTTGGCTTTGCACCGTGCTGCTGATCACTCAACCTCTTTCCTGTATCCTGTCTCGCCGTTGTTTGAGATCTGATCTACAGTAGACAGCAAACTTGTAAATGGAGTTGGGGCGGAATTTGGCCTCACCATTGTGAGTGTATAAGGAGTGCAGTAGGGGGCTGAGTACACAGCCTTGCGGGGCTCTGCTGTTGAGGATTATGGTGGAGGAGGTGTTGTCACCTATACATACTGACTGTAATCTATGATTCAAGAAGTTGAGGATCCAGTCACAGAAGGGGGAGCCGAGACCTAGGCTCTCAGAGTTTGGAGAAGAGTTTGTTGGGAATTATGGTGGTGAAGGTGGAACTGTAGTCAATAAGTAGGAGCCTAACCTAAAGACTGAGGTTCTACAGCCCTGTAAAAAAAGAATTGCATGATTCACCACTCTCAGAAGTAAAAAAAACTTCTCCTCAAATTGGTCCTAAATAGCAAGCCCCTTATTTTTAAGTTGTGTCATCTGCTTCTAGACTTGCCAACCAGGAGGAACAATACCTGCATCGACCCTGTCTATCCCTTTAATTACTTTGTAGGATTCAATGAGATCACCTCTCATTCTTCAAAACGCTAGAGAATACAGACACAGTTTGCACAATCTCTCTTCATAGGATGGTCCTGTGATCCCAGAAATAATTCTGGTGAATCTTTGTCACACTCCCTCCATAACAAGAACATCTTCCTGAGAAAAGGAGAGCAAAACTGCAAACAGTATTCCAGGTGTGGTTTAACCAAGCTCCTGTACAGTTGAAGCAAGACTTTACTACTCAATGTCAACGTATCTTATTATAAAAATGGAATTGATTTCCAAGAGGCTAATGATAATCATCTTCTCCACAGATATTAAGAAAAAAACCCACATTCTAAGGAACAAATCAGTAACAATTGTATTGAATGAATACAGCCTTTCAGGTGTGATTGTGAAGATGATATTGTCTTGCTGTGTGATTTGAAAACATCTATTTGGGAATCTGCAAAAATTTGGAAGTTCTCCCTGTATGATATTCTGATAATCTACAGCTCTGTTTGAATGACTTATCCATATTTCACCAAACATCTACATTTCCACTGGAATTCAGTGTGTATTTTTGATTGCATTCTCTCTAACATGTGTTGTTATTTTCCAAACTCTGCCAAGTATACAGTTTCTGCAGAATTACAGTTTAGGTACACGCTACAGCCATAAAATCTGGCTTTTACAGATATGCAAAGAATTTGTTTAAAAAAGAATGGTTTAAAAAGTCCTCATGAGTAGATGTCAATATGCATGGATTTCTACCAGTTACTTACTTTCCCCTTTCCCAGTTCAGACAACTCTATTCAAACAGGAGTTAGCCTCATCATTAAATTTAAATGTGGAAGCTTCCAAATAAACTGATCCATTTCCCAATAGATATGACAGTATAAGAAATAAAATGGTGGTAGTGTATTGTCAATGGGCCACAGTCCCAACATTAGTTAGCAACTTCTTGAGGGGAACAAGAAAAGAAAATGTTTGGCACCGTATAATCTTTCTGCTGACCAAAGCACAGAGATTTGCTATTTCTGAGGATGCAATAAATTGGCATGTCAAATTTTATGGGGGAAGATAAATTAAGACAAGATACCTATTGCTAGAACCAACTGAGGTTTCAGCTAGAGTAGTTAAGCCAAATGATTTAGTATCAGCTCAGTTTAGGAATGCAGACAAAGTAATTCACCTGTGGATATAAATGAACACAGATTTCAACAGAAACAGCTGTCACAAAATCTTGACATTTGCTCGATGATTTATCACTTTCTTCTGATTGCTGTGTCGTGTGTTTTCAAAATTTTAGTTTCCTTTAGGGATTTTTAGGAACAAATGAGTTAAGCACTGTGTCAACATCTGTAGCAGTGTTGCATATGGTGTGATGTTATTGTAAATTATATCCTTATGTTGATGTGTGTTACAGTGTTCTGTGAAATGTGGCAAGGGGGCTCGACATCGAACAATAAAGTGTACCAATCCACGCAAGAAATGCGATTTATCAACCCGCCCAAAGGAGGCAGAAGACTGTGAAGATTACTCAAAGTGCTATGTCTGGAGAACAGGAGACTGGTCTAAGGTGGTACATATTCAGCAAATCTGCTTCTTTTTTTGTATACAGTTCCTTTCTTGAGGGGAACAAGATATACAGGATGTACTTTATACAGTGCTTTCTTATCTACAGGTGCATGAGATGACGTAAAATATATGAATGGTTCAGTACAATAATTTGTTCATGCTGAGTTGTTCAGTACTTGCTGTTGAGCATTCTTCTACTTTGAGATAAACAAGAATTAATTAGATATCACAGAAGTAAAACACCAAAGTTCAATATTTTACCTTCCAAGTGGTTTATTAAGTTAATGCAATCAATAACGTTAGTCCAGGAAGATCCCAAGAAATTACTCACAATCCACACTTAGCAAGCTAATCTTAATTTGGTGGAATTATAATTGGCCTTGTCTTCAGTTAGGGACAATAAAATTAGAGAAATGATTATCTACGACCATGTATTAAAACTGCACCATTTAGATATTGGGTGAGGACTAGACCATACTCATGTATGTTACCCCCACAGTTTGATAACAAACCTTACCAACCAGTGATGAGAGGCATAGATAGAGTGGATAGTCAGAGACTTTTTCCCAGGGCTGAAATGACTATTATGAGGGGGCATAATTTTAAGGTGATTGGAGGAAGGTATAAGGGAGATGTCAGAGGTAGGTTCTTCACACAGAGAGTGGTGAGCGTGTGGAATGCGCTGTCGGCAGTGGTAGTGGAATCAGATACTTTAGAGACTTTTAAGTGACTCTTGGATAGGCACGTGGAAGATAGTAAAATGCAGGGTATGCAGGGTAGTTTGATCTTAGTAAGAAAATAGGTCGACACAACATCGTGGGCCGAAGGGCCTGAACTGTGCTGTACTGTTCTATGTTCTATGTTCTATGTTCTAACCTTCACTGCCATGGCTCAAACACTAAGCCATTTGAGGAAAATTGCTTTGGATAGAACTAGATTTTGCAATACATCAGTTCTTGAAGGAAGGATGGGTATAAGATTAATGGAAAAGTGGACTTGAATGCTTTGAAATCATAAATGCCAATCAAATCAATATTTGAAATAGAAAGAAAATAGCCTTTGAAATGTACACGTGATCAGAAATGTTCGAATGGAGAGTTACACTTTAGATGTTGACTTACCTTTTCCTTTCAGGGGTTGATTATTTTGCTGTGCATTTTCTTTTTATTGTAATTACAGTAATATTTAATTGGTTCTCCCCTCCAATACAAAGTTCTTCAACAGTTCTAGCTTGCACTCAAACATTTTGTTGATTCTTAGCTCTGGGGTGCTCTGTATGTCATCCTTAAATAAGGTAGGTGTAGTAGGGTTCTTTCAGAATCATACCAGCTAGGCAGTGTCATAAATGGAAGCCATTCTTACACGGTAGGCAGTTTCATTTCTTTTTCTTTTTTGTCCAAGACTGACTCAACTATTAGTCCTCCCAACACAGCTGGGAGCCATTCAGCTGGCACCGGTAATAAGACATATTGGCAAGAAATCAGAAACCTCACAGATTAGCATCTGCGCCTGTCCTTAATGCCAACTGGGAGAGGTCCAATACATCAGTTCTTGGTAAAATTGAATACGTCCAAGGAGAAAATGCTTCTGTTACTTTTTAAATGTTGTCTAGCTTGGGGAGCATTTAGTCCTGAAGCTGCCCTGTTCAAGAGTGGCTAACCCTTTAATCTTCCCCTTGTGGAAAGAATTTTAACCACCCACATCCCAGGGGTCAGATTCAGGGAGTGGTTACATTGGCAAAAATATGTAAGTTGAACCCAATGCACTAGTAATGTGCCTACTAGTTGTTTAAGTATGACAGGTTTGGATACAGCTCCTCCAGAAAGTGGAGTTAGTGATTCCGATATTTAAATTCAGGCACTTTTGTGAGATTTTTACCATGATTTGAAATTGTCACCTTCCACATGTGTTTTCCCTGAGGGAGAGATTATTATTAAAAGGCACTTGGGATTAAGTGGCATTCCGTGGAGAAGGTTAAAGGTCCTGAGAGTGAATAAAAATCTCAGTTCTAACAGCACAAACTCTCTCAACAAATGCTGCCTGACCTGCTGACCTTCTTCAGCAAACTCTGTTTTTGTTTCACTGCTTTACTCCCTGGTTGCTTGCAGAAAGTTACCTGGTGATGGTATTAAGATACTTTCAGTACATAAATGCATTTGGCAAATGAATTGTTTGCCAAGAACAGCAGGTTTTTTTTATATTCACTCATGGGACATAGGCATCACATTTCTTGCTCATCCCTAGTTGCTCTTGAGAAGGTGGTGGTGAGCTGCCTTTTTGAACCACTGCAGTCTATGTTCTGTATGTAGATCCACAATGCTGTTTGGGAGTAGGGGTGGGCAGGGATGTAGTTCTAGGAATTTGATCCAGTGACACTGAAGGAATGGCAATATATTTCCAGGATGGTGAGTGGCTTGGAGGGGAACTTGCGACGGGTGGTGTTCCAATGTATCTGCTGCCCTAGTCTTTTTTCAAAGTAGTGGTCATGGGTTTGGAAGGTGTTGTTGAAGGACACTTGGTGAATTTCTGCAGTGCATCATAAAATGGTACACACTGCTGTTGAGTGTCGGTGGTGGTGGGAATGGATTTTTGTGGATGTGGTACCGATCAAGTAGGTTGCTTCTTGAGTGTGTTATGGACCAGACCAAACCCCTCAAATATATGAAGACGATAATTAGCTTAACTATAGCTCTATCAAAATGCTTAACAAGATAATATATACATGTGTGTATATATATATATATATATGTATATATATATATGTAAACTACTACTAATTGACCGTTCCAACATAGTAACATCCCATAAACACACCCTTGGCAAAGGCAAATTCAGTAAAATAGATTGTCTCCTATGCAATTCTAGTAGCAGGAAGAGAACCCCATCTTTTAGCTGTAACAAAGAGAGGAATAAGAGCTTCCACATCTAGCTTCAAGACCCCAGCAACTGCAGAAAGCTAAAACTAAAAATCATGATTCTGTGGAAGCTTGACACCACATATTCAGGCTGCTTCTATTGTTCTGACTTTTAAAAAAAACCCACGGCTTCAAAGTTATTTATTTTATTGGCTTTAATCATACCACTTGACATCTCTGACTCAACCCTTCCTCAAAAGAAAAAACCAGGACAAAATACACCTCTTAAAATCATAGAAAATAAAAACCAAAAGAACTGCAGGTGCTGTAAATCAGAAACAAACACAGAAATTGCTGGAAAAACTCAGCAGGTCTGGCAGCACCAATGGGGAGAAATCAGAGTTAATGTTACTGTCAGACCTGCTGAGCTTTTCCAGCAATTTCTGTTTGTTTCTTCAAATCATAGTATTGTCACAAGTGTTGCTATGTGAAGTTTCCATATAATGATGATAACCAGGATGAGCAGACGCATGTATCCACATCTTAGACTAACTTCCCAATGGCTCAGGGTGCCATTAATTACATGGCCGTCAGAGAAGCTCCAGTTGAACCAGCACTATTCAGCAACTGCAAGGAATGCCATCCCAACCATGTTGAACTGTGCGCAATGACTATTGACTTATTCAGGTTGTGTTCACTTCCCTGAGAACTGCCAAGATGCAGCAGGGCAACATTATCGATCTGTAGGTTCCATTAAAGAGTTTTTGGGGACAGGAAATGAAAGCCCCTCCAAGTCTGACTGATCACACCTCTAAGAAACATCACCAATGAGCCCAAAAAGCACTGCAGCGATGGCCATGTGATGAAGAATTAGGTGATGAAGCAAGCTCAAGATGCACTTTAGGTGCCCGTAAATCTCTGGATGTACCCTTTAGTATTTGGCAATGAGAGATTCTCTGATAATTATGATCTGCTATGATCTTTACATAGGAAATAGGTTGCTTACTAGTCATCATCTGATGAGCATTCCAATGGAGAGGAGTAGGAGGAGGATGAGGAGGAAGATAAAGGTAGGCACATAATGCCAGTCGACCATTTGCATTTCAACTCAGATACCATGAATTCCTTAAAGCTCAAAAGACCAATTAGTCACTTTGACTGAATCATATTATTATAGTTCCCACCCCTTCCCCTGCTAACCAAAAGCTGTCCTGTTATCAACTTACATTCCACATTCAGGATGTTATAGCTTGGGAACTTTTTAAAACTCAAGGTAATTGGAAAGAGTCAACATGGTTTATCAGAGGAAGATCGTGTTTAATCAACTTATTGGAAGTCTTTTAAGGTGAAACATGCATTTTGGATACTGGGGAGCCTGTAGACATATTATACTTGGGTATCCAGAGGCATTTGCCAAGGTGTCACATAAAAGGCAATTGCACATTGTAGGAGTTCATAGTATATGGGCTAACATTAGCATGGAGAGAAGATGGTCTGGGTGGCACAAAATAGAATGTACATAGAAATAGAACTTCTTCAAATTGGCAGGAAGTGATGAATGAAGTCCTGTAGGTGTCTGTGCTGTGGCCTCAGCCTTTTACAATTTACATCAATGACTTAAATAAGGGGAGCAAAGCCGTGGGAGCTAAATTTGCAGGGGGTAAGACAAAATAGGTATTACAATGTATTGTAAAGAAGTCATACAAAGTTTGCACATGAAAATAGGTAGGCTGAGCAAGTGGGCAAAAGTCCAGCAGATGGATTATTACATGGGAAATGTGAAATTGTTCACTTTGGCAGGAAGAATAAAAGGACAAAATATTATTTAAACAGAGAACAAGTGCAGAATTTCAAGGTGGGAAGGGCTCTGGGTGTTCTAATGCATGAGTCACAAGAAGTTGTATGAAGACTGAAAGTAGTACTGAATGCAAACAGAATGCTATAATTTGTTAAGACAACTTTCTAATTTTAGGTATTAATCTGGTAAACCTTCTCTAAATTAAGGGGAGGTGATGGCCGAGTGGTATTATCGCTGGACTGTTAACTCAGAGACTCAAGTAAAGTTCTAGGGAAGAAGTTCAAATCCTGCCACAGCAGGTGGTGAAATTTGACTTCAATAAATATCTGGACCTAAGGTTCCAATAAT